TGAACAGTACTCATACGCCTGCCAGTGGGCCCAAGCAACTGGAAGACATATAAACTGGCAAAACTCGGTGAAACATTGATTTATAATGGAAAATCTCAAAATAGATGAATTTTAATGGTACATCTCAAAGTTCTAAGAATTGTAATGGTATCAATCCAAATAACCATTTTTTTACCCAGGAAGAAGATGTGCGAACAATAAATCACAATGTCATACATTCCTATGGAAGGGGGTAGCCGCGCCGTCAACCACCGGCAGGGCTCGCTCGGTCGCGTCGTGCCCGAGGACAGCGGACGTCGAGGCTCAATCGGCGGGGGGTGGCCACCCGCCCCCATCAGTGCAAAGACCAAGCTGGGCGCGCGCTCCTTCCTGCGCGCGGGGGCGTGGAGGAGGAGGAGGGCGCTGAGGGCTAGCGTCGCCACCAGCGAGGAAGAGGCAGCTAGGGTTCCGTCGAGCACCCGTGGATCGCCGGGAGGATGCAGCGCAGGGGAAGCCGCGCCGGCGGTCATCGGTGGGGCCTAGCCGCGCCGCTCCGTGGCCGGGGACGACCACCTGTCTAGTCATGGTACAAGGTTTGATTTTCGAAACATATTAGGCCCTGTTTGGTTCTTTAGCCAGCTCCTAAAATCTCTGTCACATCGAATATTTAGATACTAATAATGAGCATTAAATATAGATTAATTATAAAACCAATTACATAGATGAAGGCTAATTTGCTAGACGAATCTATTAAGCCTAATTAGTCCATGATTTGACAATATGATGTTACAATGAACATGTGCTAATGATAGATTAATTAGGCTTAATAGATTCGTCTCGAAATTAACCTCCATCTATGTAATTAGTTTTATAATTAGCTCATGTTTAGTCCTCCTAATTATCATCCAAATATTCGATGTGACATGAATTTTAGGAGCGACTAAAGAACCAAATACCCTAGAATAGATGGCACAGGCTGCTGCATGTTCTGTTACAACGTCCAGACATACACAGTGTGTTAGTGCGTGTATACTATACATATCAAAATAAATAAAAAATAAACCCACCGTTTGTACGTATATATCGCGATCCCAAGACCGCTTTCACTCCTCAGTAATGGCAGAGCTATAGGTGCCAACTGATAAATTAGCTGATTATTAATTTATTACTCGCCGTGTTTGAGGGCGAAGCTTGCAGACTCTCGACTTAAAACCCACCGTGGTTGCGCCAAATGCCCACGTCGTGCCTACCGCCGCACGCACGCACACGGCACACACACAGGCGGCTCCGTGCGCCGCGTGCCGAGGGAGCCGCCGCTCCGGCCATCCGGCGTCGTTGGGTCTGGGCGGCACGCTAGCATGTCGGGAGAGAGGGAGAGGGCGGGGAGAGGGAGGAAGGAGGAGGACAGCTTCCGTCGCTGTGGCCGGCGTCGTCGCCCGCGTGACGAGAGAGGGAGGGAGAGGGAGAGGAGATTTTTTTTGAAGCGCCTAGAAGCTGAAGCAGGAGCCAAGTATAAATTTGTTTCTCCCGGATTCTGATGAGAAGCCAGGGGAAAACGGTCATAACAGAGGGAAGCAGGTAAAAGCTAAATAGCAAAAGCAGAAGGTGATGCGGTAGAATCTTGCGGGAGGAACCGAAGCCGTCGATCGTGCAGATCCAACGGACGAAAAAATTTACGGTGACGTGGATACAGCTTCCTCTTTAGGAGCCTGCGAGGTCTGTATGTAGAGTTAAATACGCGTTGCTCCAGGCTGACCATTATTTGGATCTAACAAGCTCCTGATTGCATGAAGGGCCTTCTTGTATACTTTCTTTTCCCGTCAGCAATAGTGATCCGATAAGATTATTGTCTTTGCGGCCTGACGTCGCTCGCTACTTTTTCAACGATTTGGGCATGGATGGGAAAAGCACTTTTTCGAATATATGCAAGTCCTTGCCTCCTTGGCTTGTTAATACACGAAACACAAATTAGGCCCTCTTCAGGGCTTGGGCTTCTAAAAAACGATGAAGCCAAAAAAAGCCACCTTTTGATGGCTTGGGCTTCATTGTTTTTTTTTTGGTTTATTTATTAGAAGCTGTTCTCGTATGTACTTTGATGGCTTCGGCTTCATTGTTTTTTTTGATTTAGAAGCCGTTCTTGTATGTACTCGTTTGGTAGATTTTAATTAAGTCGGTGGAGAAGCCCCTACAAAAGGCATGCCAAAAGAGGGCCTAATAAATATTAAAAAAAAGAAAAGAAAAAAGCACGTCCCTATATATAAAAGATAAAGCACACTGTTCCCCGATCATTGTTACCGCAGATTTTCATGAAAAGAACATTTGACCTGACCAATCTTAGCCGCCTGGCCGGTGTGTCGTTCACGGGCAGCCCATTCCGCGTCCAGCAGGCACGTCCACCTCCAGCGGTTGCGTGTTAATTTCCCGTCCCGTCGCTACCATCCGCTCTTCCAGATGTGCTGATGCCTGCTGGTATGGATAATGTTCGCTGGTCTTATAATTTATATTTTTTTAGTTTATTTTTTTAATTAAAATAGTATTTTTTTTCATAATAAATTAATTGAAACAATATTTCGATTCGTTCAACGAAGTGAACGGGACAAATATTATTGCCTGCGTAATCACGTATAGACCCAGTCACCCACATGTGAGGCCAAGAGCTCGCCGGCCCGGCCCACGGGCAAACGTTTTATCATAATTTTGAGGGCAGCAACAGCGAGCAAGTCATCAGTTGCAGCTAAGAAACTGACTGGGACAGTGACTTGTAGATGCAACCTCGCATCACATCCCTAGAAGATGGGGCAAGATCGAAGAGAGGATTACGGGACAAGCGACGCATATAGTATATAAGTAGACATGTGCAGAGTTCCGAAGCTTGTGCGCCTGGGGATCGGATGCCAGCTCTCTTCTCTCCATCACGAGGTACACTTTGGCACTCGTTTACTCCTCCGTCCCGTTGTCTCTGTCTGACTCTGATGATGATCATCAGGCCAACCTGACATCAATATGACTAGATACATGGACTTCTTTATGAACACAGTCACTTAAATATCGAGCTAGAACGACAATTGTCGTGGGACGGAGGAGTACTCTGAAGCGCCTGACTCGATGATGATCATCGAGGCCACATGACCCTTATACAAATTAGCTATTGTCCAGGTTAAAGAGATAAAACATAACCGAAAAAGATTACTATTAGCTGATTTGTTGTGAGAGAAAAATACTGTTCATTGGCTAAAAAAAATACGACTTATAAGCCAAGCGAACGAGACGTATAAACTCCTATCTAATAAGTGGCGTCAACTGATGTATTTTAGTGTAATTCAACTCATCTTAAGCAATGGTAGTTTAAGACCCCGTCCATTATCTCTTCTCCACGCAAAAATAAAAGAGTATGGTTTGGATGATCATACACTATCCAAAGCCGCTACAATTCATTATTATTCATACAAGTAACAACCCAATTCCTGCACTGGGCTTTGACGTATGGCTGCACTCTAGCTAGCCATACCGTTTAGAAGTACGTACATACAACTAGGCTGCAAGGCCCAGTTGCGAACTTGCGATGCCAAGTGTTACTATCATACGACTCTGGCGTCAGCTCAGTCCCTGTTTGCTGCTTTAACCCAGTTGTACATTCTAGTTGTATAAACAGTAATAGCGTACTCCATCGGTCCAAAAAGAATGTACGTCTTGCATTCCATACACTAGACCTATAAAAAAATAATGTTAACATTTGTGCCTCTAAATATATTTACTACAAAATAAAATCCACCGTTGATCTAATGATACTCATTACACAATATAAATATTAGAATTCTTTTATATATATTTGGTTAAAAAAAAGAGTAGGCAACGCTTTGCCTGCAACTATGTACTGTATCAACAGTTTTTTGTGCCTATGCAACTGAGCAGCGACTGTGAATGATATCAGCCAAACACTCATTTTTTTTAATTATATGTTTTGTCTTAAAATCGACGGACTTTTTTCAAATAATATATCTCATATCTTCTTCCTAACAATTTTTGTCTTATTACTATAAACGAATCTATATATCTATAACTATCTATATCTAATATCAAAGAGTGAAATTTCTCTTCCCAAACTTTCGTCCTCCATCACTCTCTTAAGTGTGTCGGTCCTTCCACTTCTTCGAACATAAGAGTTTTACTAAGAGTAATAGTACATGATGATAGAATTAAAGATAAAGGTCTAAATTAGTTTATTGTCTAACCAGTGACCCGAACTCATGGCTTATGCTTTATAGGAGTTAGAATTAGAACACTGTCTAGTCGTGGTACAAGTTTTGATTTTCGAAACATATTAGAATAGATGGCACAGTCTGCTGCATGTTCTGTTGCAACGTCCAGACATACACAGTGTGTTAGTGCGTGTATACTATACATATCGAAATAAATAAAAAATAAACCCACCGTTTGTACGTATATATCGCGATCCCAAGACCGATGAGCAAAGGCATTATGGATGCCAGGAGTACCTTTCACTCCTCAGTAATGGCAGAGCTGATAAATTAGCTGATTATTAATTTATTAATCGCCGTGTTTGAGGGCGAAGCTTGCGACTCTCGACTTACCACCCACCGTGGTTGCGCCAAATGCCCACGTCGTGCCTACCGCCGCACGCACGCAGGCGGCTCCGGCATCCCTTCCGTCTCAGTACTCCTCGGTTTCTTCTTCTTCCTCCTCCTGCACTGCATGCTGCTGCCCTGCAGCAGCAGCGAGTCCAGTCCAGCCCCACCGCGACGCCCGATGCCGATTCCGCATTAAACTACGCACTCATCACCCCAAAGCTTCGCTGATCGGGGCGGCCCCCTTCGCATAAACACCGTCGCTTCCCCTCCCTGACCGACCCTTCCCACTGTCTCTGCTCGGCCGCTCTCCCTCCCCTTTCCATCGCCTCCCCCCTCTTCCTCCTCCTCCTCCTCCTCCTCCTGCCGCCGCCGCTGCAGCTAGGGAGCGGTACTAATTGGGAGGTAGGTAGGTGGAGGCCGCGGCCGCCAGGGATGGTGGCCGTCGGCGGCGGCGGCGGGGGGCGGCGGAGGCGGGCGTGGCGGTGGGCCATGCGGGCGGTGGCTAGCGCCGTCGTGTGGACCGTGGTCGTGCAGGTCGCCTCCATCGCCGGGCTGTTCCGCCCGCGGGTCGTCGCCGACTGCGGCGGCGGCGGGAAAGGCGGCGGCGCCGCCGCGGCCGGGCTCGCCGCGCTCGCCGGCGAGGACGGCCTCGCGGCGAGGCTGTCGCCGCCGGCGCTCGTGCCCAAGAGTGAGTGGCCTCGCCTTCCTTCGTTGCGCTGATCTAGGGGAAGCTCGGGACCCCCACGATTTGGGCGGAGACCGAGTCGAATGCGGCGGTTGCGTGGCCGCATTCCCGGGACGATCCGGCTCCATCGTGGGCTCAAATTACTAAATTAGCTGTTTCGGGGTGATTTTTTTCGCCCGTTGGGGATCTCGGGGCTCAAATTACTGAATTCGCGATTCCTTGCTTCATATGGCAAAGGAATACTTTGGTAGGTCAAAAGGAGACATCGTTGTGAACTTGGCCAAAATGTGGCTTCAGGCCTTAATCCCTATCTTGCGTATGCTATATTTAGAGCTTATCCCGATGCTTAGAATGACCCAAGATCCTCTGTTATTCATACCATGTAATGATCTGGGGAATTATTCGTAAAGATTGAGTATAGTTCTGTTCCTTAAGACATGTGGCGATCAGGCCGAGTCCTTCTAGTCACACGTCACTAAGACGCCAATTGGCATATCTTGTTGTCTCAGCCGTCCTGTTCACATTGGCACTAGAGCTGATTGGGTTTTGCTGTTACTTTCTACAGGAATTTACAAAAGCAATGGCTACCTACTGGTGACATGCAATGGCGGACTCAATCAAATGCGAGCCGGGGTTCGTACCTCAATTTCGTGCTGGTTTGTCACCTGGTTTCATGCTGCGAACCAGCGCTGCTGTTCGTTCTTCATTCAATCTGAAGTTTATATGAAATGGTATGCTGCAGATATGTGATATGGTGACTATAGCACGCCATCTGAATCTAACACTTGTGGTCCCTGAACTGGATAAAATGTCGTTTTGGGCTGACCCAAGGTACGATTTCCCACCGGGTAAATGTTTTTTTGTCATGTCCAATGGGCTGTTTATCTTTTGCTTCAGGAAACCAATTAAACATGACATATGATCTTGTGTGTTATGAAGTGCATTCCTCTTATGTACTACTCCCTCCGTCCCAGTAGATAAGGCGCAACCACTTCCGGTTCAAAGACCAAGGAACGCATTTAATTCCTCTCTCTCAACACTAGTACGACTACATCGATCTATGTGCCTCTAGAGAGAGCACGCCGACATGTATAAAAAGTGGTTACGCCTTATATATTAGGACAGTGAGAGTACCTCCATTCTCTTTTATAAGGCGTGTCTGGACATGACACGGTCTCCCAAACTACACTTTTGACCATTTATTTATTTTATATTATATTATTTATATCTATAAATTTATGATAATCGGATACTACTTTTAATTACCAATCTAACCATATCAAGTTTATAGTGTAATAATTAAAATTGTTAGCTAAATTATTGGTCAAAGATTTAAAGTTCGACTCTTGATTTGTGTGCGCGTCTTATAAAAGAGAATGGAGGGAGTATTTCAGAACAAACTAGGATTTGTGTGCGTCGAAATGCTACTAAATCAGAGGTAGTTCTTCTTATTTCTGCTCCTTGCGAATTAATTTGTTGTTTTGAGTTTGCAGTGATTTTGGAGATATTTTCGACGTGGGCCACTTCATTAATTCCTTGAGAGATGAGCTGATGATAGTTAAAGAGCTGCCTTTAAAACTCCAGTTAAGAACTAAGAAGAGACTGTACTCGATGCCTCCTGTCAGTTGGTCGAATGAAACATACTACCTAAAGCGGGTAATCTTCGATCTTTCATACCGCAGAGTGTAGGCTACATTTAGCAGCATCGAGAGAGTGATGGCAAGTGATCTGAAATCACAAATTTTGCAGATATTACCTCTTGCAAGGAAGCACAAAGTAATCCATTTTGAGAAATCAGACGCTCGCCTTGCAAACAATGGCCTTCCTATTCAGCTCCAGATGCTGCGTTGCCGTGTAAACTTTGAGGCTTTGAGATTCACCCCACAGATCGAAGCTCTTGGCAGAAAGCTTATGTCCACTCTCCAGAGAAGTGGACAATTTGTTGTGCTTCACTTGCGCTATGAGATGGACATGCTCTCCTTTTCAGGCTGCACACATGGCTGCTCTAGTAAAGAAACTGAGGAGCTCACTAGAATGAGGTTTGTGTTTTTCACCGTTACACACTACTTACTCTTTGTGCTACTTTGATGCTTCACTGGGTATAAACTAATCACGTTTGTACTATAGATATGCTTATCCATGGTGGAAAGAAAAAGAGATCGATTCTGAAGTGAAGAGGCTTCAGGGACTTTGCCCCCTCACACCAGAGGAAATTACTCTAGTGCTTAAAGCTCTAGGGTTCACAAAGGATACGCTGATATACATTGCTTCTGGTGAAATCTATGGTGGTGAAAGGCGCTTGGCGGTGCTCAAGGATGCGTACCCTAAACTAGTGAGCACCTTTCTATCATTTAAACATTCTGGAGATCTTTTACTTGGATGCTTACTTGCTCAGTTCTATTCTGTATTAGGTAAGGAAGGAGAAAATTTTATCTCCTGATGAATTGCGACCATTCCAGAACCATTCAACCCAGATGGCAGCACTGGATTACATGGTTTCTCTAGCAAGCGACATTTTCATTCCCAGCTATGATGGAAATATGGCAAGGGTTGTTGAAGGTCACCGCAGGTCTGCATCTTTGGATTCTGATCAGAACTTTACCTGTCTATTTATCATATTGCACATTGTTCATTACTTCTAGTCAATAGAAGTATATGTTATGCTAATTTTGAATTCTTTGTGAGAAAAAACTGTCTCTGCCTTCACAAGTTCAAATCTACCGCTGCTATGGCTGTAAACATCATTGCTGATCTATTTCAGGTATATGGGTTTTCGCAAGACCATTGTTTTGGACAGAAAGAAGCTTGTTGAGCTCTTGGACCTTTTCCAAGGAGGTGCTCTATCTTGGGACGAATTCTCAGATGCAGTGAAGGAGGCACACAAGAGCCGCATGGGGCAACCTACAGAAAGAAAGGTCATCCTTGGCCAGCCTAAGGAAGAGGACTATTTCTATGCTAATCCTCAAGAATGCCTTGGCTCCAACGGGGGACTAAGAGACATTTCCTGACAATGCTTCCTAATAATGGCGCCTCAACCCTATAGCACACTGTGTGTGTTCATCGACACCAATCACTTCTGTACAGCTGACCAAAAGGCCCTCTCTGCTTAGTAAGCATTTACCACAAGTACATGCAGGTTCACAGATCAAATGCCCACAACCAGGTTTCCTCACAGAATAAAGCAGAAAACCTCTGGGTTCAGAAAGAAGAGATGCCGCCCGTGCATCCAGTCTGCTCCTTCTCAACCATCTGTCATAGTTGTTGTAACCCTTTGTTTACCTGTCAGTTTTTTCATTCCATTGTTCCCCACTCGCCCTTTTACTGCTCCAGTTTTCAGTTCTTCTAGTGGGCAGTATCTCTCTCTGTTCATGTGAAAGTAGGAGTTCATTTTTCCTGGAAGTTCCTTGTACTAGTAAGTCATTATCATTCAAGATTCACAGTGATAACAGAAATTTCTGACAAAACATTACCCTTGAGGGATCAAATTGTGGCGATTGAGCAATTGTTTTGGTTCTAACATCTCATCCATGGATTTTAACGCTTATGCTGTGTAGAAACTGTCGACGTGGTTGTTGCCGTTGCTCTGTAGATACGGGTCGGCTGATTCCGACTTGGCTTGCACGCCCCGTCTCAACCAAATGGCATTGATCATTTGGCAGTTCTGTACGTAGCACCGGAAAGGAATATGCTTTGCAAATTTGCAATCTTTTACTGCTCTCGTTTGGCGTTTGGCGTTTGGCGTGAGCGTGACAATGATTCCTCGTCGCAATCGTAAATAATGCTACGAGTCTTTTGATGAGCAATACTACCAATTTCCTTTTTGTCCGTGCAAGGTCTGCAACGGTGGGCGTGGCGGTGTCCGTGCAAGTTATTCACCTATGATTGAAGCATGAATACAGAGACAATGCTTTGCTGGGAGATCGCCTCTCTGCTGCTACGAGATCATGTCATCCATTCCATGGAACTATTATTGCTTCAATCAAGATCCTAAAGATTGTCTCTGTTGTTGTCATAGTTTTGTTTCTTCATGAACTATGCTCTGTTTGTTTCTCGCACAGTGTTTGCGTGGCCGAAGCAGTTTTATTTATTGCAGCTGTGGTTGCTGAACAAGATGACATGGCCATATAAAGTACACCAGGAAATTCTATTTTATTTTGTTTAGAAATTCAGTTTCATGTTAATTAGAAATGTAAAAATAAACTAGGATGCAAGCTTACTGGATCTCTATAGTTTGGTAGGTGCAAAATTTTCTCATAAATTTACAATTGAAGTGTTGTGATCATATCTTTCTATGTTTGTAAGCTAATCTTACACATCAGCATTTAGTTATATGTTGGTTAACATTGTAGGTAAATTAATCTTAGCATGCTCCAACACACAATGACATGATTGTTTTTAGTACTGACATGCCACTGGCTCCTAATATGAGCAGCTTTGCAGAGGATCACAAAACAAGCATAATAGGTGAGTCTTTGAGAGGAGGATTGACCAGCCCGTTGAGTCCTTGCAATAAGGACAACAATATCGCGCGATGGGTCGCGCGTTTGCATTTGGGAAACGCGCGACCCATCTCACCCGTCACGCTCTCTCCCTCCAACTTCTTTCTCCACCCGCCGCCCCCGGCCGCGGCTACCTCGCCGCCAGCCGCGCCGCCCAAAGACCCGCCCTCCCCTAACCCGAGGGCACCGGTGAGTCCGGCGTCCTCGTCCTCGCCCCACCCCTGCCCCGCCCCCACCCCCACCCCCACCCCCACTATCGGTGGCCGGCGGTGAGCCGCCTCGCCGCACGCGCTCACAACCTGCCCCCACCTCTCGAACCCGCCCACACTAATCACATGACCTCGCCGCCGACCACCGCCGCGACACCCCCGTCGCCAACCCCGCCCATCCGGTTGTCCTCCGCCGCACCGCCCTCAACCCGCCACCGCCGCCGTGTCACGGCCGCCTCCCCTCGAACCTCTTTCTAGAGCCGCTAGTGATGCCCAACCCTAACTCCAGCGAGTCCCCTCCTCTTCCTCTCCTGTGGGGCACGGGCCCCAACGAGCCCCCACCCTCTTCTTCCCCTCCGGCGTGGCGCGGGCGCAGGCACGTGCATGGGCGCGTGGGCCGGCCCACGTCGCGTGCTCGGCGTCTAGTGCGACTGATCGCGTAATAGAATTTCGGTTGCAATAATGGAGGAGACAACGAGGTCCGAATGAAGCGCTTGGAGGATCAGCGTTGTATTTCGTTTTCATTTTAGTTAAGTTGTTCCTATGTGAATGAGTGTCTTTGTTCTTTTAAATTTTAATAAGTAATCACAACACCATAAGAAATTCGCCTGCTGCCGCTTATAATAACAATATATGACAGCGCCAGCGGAGCCCTGCCGATCTTTCAAAAGAACTATGGTGATGATATTTTTCTATGTGTAACTAAATGTTCCACGTTCTTTTTTCTAAAAAAACTATGGTGATGATATTTTTCTATGTAATTAAATGTTCCACGTTCTTCTTCTTCTTCTTCTTCTTTAAAATGTTTCGTGCAAATCATGCGGTTGAGTGATTCATAGTCTTGCACATGATGATTTGACTATTCATTTGGCATCTTTTTTTTTTTTCCATCTGTTGTGGATGTATGCTGTGAAAGCACATCAGTGTGTACATGTATGATCCAAAGGCTAAAGTTTAGTCTTTGTCACATCAAATGTTTGATGCCAATTAGAAGGACTAAACACGAGGTAATTTTAAAACTAATTGCATAAGCCGTGACTAATTCGCGAGATGAATTTATTAAGACTAATTATTCCATGATTAACATATGTTTACTGTAGCATCACATTCGCTAATCATGGACTAATTAGACTTAATAGATTCATCTCGTGAATTAGTCATGACTTATGCAATTAATTTTATAATTAGTCTATATTCAATACGTCTAATTAATACCAAAACATCCGGTGTGATAGAAAAAGTTCAGTCACATAGGATAGCCATGATCACAGAGGATAGTCTTGTTCATAGACCCGAGTTATAATGATCCCACCTCCTAAAGTTTAGTCCCTGTCATATCGGATGTTGGATACTAATTTAGAGTATTAAATATAGACTAATTATAAAACTAATTGCACAGATTGAGACTAATTTGCGAGACGAATCTATTAAGCCTAATTAATCAATGATTTGGCAATGTGGTGCTACAATACACATATGCTAATAATAAATTAATTAGGCTTAATAAATTCGTCTCACGAATTAGTCACAATTTATGTAATTAGTTTTATTATTAATATCCAAAACACCCGATATAACATCAATACCTTCTAAATTTTGGTCGGTAGATCAAACACCCGTCTTGTGAGAATGTCGCGATTCATTTTTTTTTTCGTATTTGACTTCCACCTAGCACTAGCAGTTGTATATGAGTGAGGACAAAATAGCTTTTTTATACCAAAACAAGAAAAAAAGGTAAATGACGTGATTTTTATTTGATGAAAAAAATGATACAAGAGGAGGGCCCAACCAGGTTCGAACCGGTGAAATCTTGATCTGCAGTCAAATGCTCTACCACTGAGCTATGGACCCATGATAGACGATTGTAACCGAGATATATCCCTTTAATATTCGTATAGCTTTGCAAATGCAACTTAACACAAGACAGATCAAGCACTCCATGACTCCATCGTGCTGAGCAGGCCATGCATGACACAACATCAAACCAAAACTCCAAATCTATTCTATTTCTCAGCTACAGTGGTGGCGCTGCCGTTGGAGATGGATGGCTGCAGCAAGAACTCAAGGAGGACGCGGTTGAAGAGCTTGGGTTCCTCCTGCGACGGCAGGTGCCCTGAGTTGGGGATCACCTTCACCGTAGCCTTCTCCCCGAGCTTCCTGCAAGTGTGCATTCTAGTTAATTAATCTTACTATTCATTTCATCATCTCACTTAGTCAGCCAGCCATGAAGTCACTCAAAAAGTTTGAATGAAGAACAAGTTCTAAAGGTGGAGCACTAGCCCATGCATTACTGGGGAAAAAATATTACTACTCAAAGTAGAATAGAAATTGAGAAACTTACTCTTTCACTTTGTATGCTTTCTCCAGAGGAAAGATCTGGTCGAACTCTCCCCAGATGATCAACATCTCCTGCTTAATGCTTAATTGTATAAGCAAAGTGTCTAATTGCCCTGAGTAGTTAGTGATGCGAGTAGATTCTTTGTTGCTTTGGCCTAGAACCATGTTTAACTTCTATGTATGTATTATGTAATGAACTAAAATAGTGGCATATAACCGTTGGTTGTTTTAGTTTTGCACTCTTTTCATTTCAAATTGTAAGTCATTTTTGTTTTCTAGATATATAACTTTTATTATGTACTTAGACATAATATATATCTAGGCTAGGTGCGTAACAAAAGCAATGTACCTAAAAAAAGTCGGAACAACTCACAATTTGGAATGAGGGGAGTACTAAGTTAATCTTCTCTAACTTTGAAACATCAAAACACATTTCATGATGAATTTATTAAAACTAATTTGACGTTGTAGATTTTGTTGTATTTTTCTTTAAACGTGATTTTAAGTTGGAGAAATTTCACTTTGACTTCGGATGGAACTAAATGGACCTACATTCTGGAACCAAGTTTTGGTTATCCACTTTCTTTTCTAATAATTAATGATTGGGTATCCACTTAACGTTGCTATGTTGTTATGGAAGTTATGTGTGAACTCTTGTGCTTATGGTGTTGCATTAAGGATTAATGTAGAATTGTAGATCATACCTGAGGCAGAGGAGTAAGCTGGGAGCCTTCCGCGGTGGTCATCCCTTTGATGAGCTCAATCTTCTCCTGTCTCTGCCCCTCCAAGGACTTCTGTATGTAGCAATGCAATGTTATTTGCAGAGTATTCAATAGTTTGCTTCATTTCAGCTATGTGGAAAAATAAACTTGATCTTTTGTTCTTCTCTCCAAAATTAGCAATGACCAATGAGAGTAATTGATGTATGAGTTAGATGTACTAGCCAACCCTAAACTTGTATATATGGTGCATCACTTAGATCCACGAACCATGAAAATACATTTTTGGGTCACTAAACTTATTACATGGTACATCGTAGGTCCATACTAACCACGTTCGTATTTTATTTGATGTGGCCACCATAAGTCAATACATTTTAAGTGTATTGCTTAACAAGTTTAGCAATCTAAAAACATATTTTTAAAATTTATGGATATAAGTGACGACGTCCCTGGACAAGTTTAGTGATCGCTTATACATTTAGCTCTTTATTAAGGCTAGAAAATGCAGCAAGTGGAGTAAAGCGCAAAAGAGACCGATTATTTTTTATATAGGCCGGCTTTACCCTAGTACTCTCAAATCATCATGAGTCTATACGTGGTAGTAACGGAGGCGGGTTTTTTTTGCCCCTAAGAGCACATGCTCCACCACATCCATTACACAATACGCATCACACATCCTCATGCGCATTGTGTAGTGGATGTGGTGGGAGCATACCCCTTCAGGGGCACATTTAACTTTACCGTAACTGTGAAGTAGCAGAGCAATAATATTATTTGCTATGGAGGGATGAAGAATAACAAGTCTTTTAAGAAGAAAATGACGCCTTTTTTCCGAAGAAACACGGTTGTTGGATGTTAGGCTATTAATCACCGTAATTGAGCTATTAACGTTACATATGCCTCAATATCTGGATCAAAAACGACTTTGGCAGCGGCACCGGCCTTCAATCAATTTCTGTAACGGTGGGTATATGGTCGACGTGCGTGCATACGTACCCGGAGGAGGTCACAGGCGATGCACTCGGGCAGGTACATGGGCGGGCGGTTGAAGGAGAGCGCCGTCAGCCGCCGCATCATCTTGGTGTCCGCGGGCACCATCAGCTCCGTCACCTCCTCCACGCCGTCCCTCACCGCCAGGGCGCGGTCGTCCTCGGGGCCCTTGGTCACGTCGGAGTCGTAGAGCACCACCTTCCCTAGCGCCACGCCGGCATCGAGGCCGCCGCGCTGCTGGTGCTGCAGCGCGCGGGCCAGGTGGTAGGCGACTATCCCGCCGTAGCTGGCGCCCACCACGTGCACCGGGCGGCCGACCCCGAGGCCCGGGAGGTGTTGGTGCCCATGCCCGACGAGGAGCGCGGCGACGGTGGCGGCCTGGGAGGCCTCGGAGCATGTCGGGGCACGCGTGCGGGACGCGCCGAAGAAGAGCAGGGTGGGGACCACAAGGTCGAAGTGGCGGGAGAGCGGGCCCACCTGCGCTGCCCACTGCCACGTGGGGCCCGGCCCGAAGCCATGGACAAGGACCACCACCGGCTGCTTCTTCTCCACGGTCGTCGTCGAATTCGGAGTCGGTGGTGGCAGCAGGAGCGAGCGGTGGGCCCAGAAGTGGACGGTGGTGTCGGCGTCGAAGTCGACGACGGTGGAGCCTGGGTGGAGGCCGGCGGAGGTGAACGCGTGTCGGAACACCGCGTCGAGCAGGGACACCACGCCGAACCCCATTGTTAGTTGCGATGATCATTGTCAGACTGATACGCGCGTGATATCTCCTACAACTAAAAAGAACAAAGCGTGAACATTTTTTGGTGCGACATTTGTTTTGGTTCGTCCGTCTGCCCACTTGCGATCCCCGCCTCCCGTCCACGCGCAAAGTCGCTTAAAAAAAAGAAAGCCGCAATCACCGCACCCCCCACCCCCACCCACCCCCCTGCGATGGATCCATCCCCACCCCACCTCGACGCGAGCGAGGCAAGCCACCAGGACGAGGGCGTCGGCCACCAGCGGGGCAAGGGCGCCTTCCTGGCCACCACTGGCCACCCAAGCGAGGGCGACACCAGGCCGCCGGCCGCCAGGCCACCAGGCGATGGAGCTCCTCCGCCTCAGATCCAACCCCCACCGATGCGAAGGCACAGGAGCTAGGGGTTCACTCATCCGTGAGAAGGAGAACGGCGGCGGAGCATGGGAGCCCCTGCGGGCGTGCGGCCACACCCTGGCGGCCCGTGGGAGGGCGCGCGACCACACCCGGTGGCGCGTGGGACGGGGAGCGTGGTGTGGGCTCAGAGCGCGGCGGCCGCCATCCTCGCCATCGCGGATGCCATCCCCGCCGTCGCCGACGCCATCCCCGCCGCCGTGGCTCGCCATCCCTGCTGTGCGATCTAGATCCAGGTCCGTTCTCTCTCCCTCCCTCCCCGTAGCTCCTAAATCCGTCCGCTTGGGGTGTAGTTGATTTCTCCATGGATGAACATTTTGGTGTTGTGAAAAGGGTGAGAAGTGCAGTGCATTTATTTCATCGCTATTGGCAGATAAATCAAAATGACGAAAGAAAGAGTGTATTTTCTTGCAAATCTATCTTTTCTATCACTAGCGGGATAAATTGGATCTATGTTTTTTTCCTTAAGCACTCTACTTCGGACACAGATTTTCTATGGTGGAATGAATGCGAAATTTGCATTGCCCAATTTATCATTTATTTTCAGTGATATTCTTTTGAGACTGAATATTGTGAGTTTTTTGAAACGCTGAAACTTCAAATTTGGTTTGACTCCTTATGCTTGCTACCATTTCCTTTCCATTTGTGGTTTGACTGGTTCTATATATAGTTGCAGTTTGTGTAGATTTGTGTACAGTAGCAATAGTAGCATCAATGCCCACACACTAGCTCTTGTTCTGTGTGCAGTGCTATCCAATTGTTTCATAAAGGCTTCTATTACCTAACCTGTCACCATGAACTATACTCATATCTACTAGCGTTTCTCAAGTGTGTAGCAATGTGTTGCAAAACACTGAAATAGTAGTTGCACTTTAACAAGCGACTCTGTTTCTATCTCTATTTTTTTTGTTGGTCATATCTCTGAAATAGGTAGGATGACAGTTAATTTGATTAACACAAAAGTTTATTAAATAATACGTTCAGTTAGCTTTGTCTTTAGAGAAAAGCTACCTGGTCACACATTCATTATTTTACTGATAAACAATACAAAACAAATGATATTTCATTTCAGTGGCATAGACTACGGTCGAGCATTGCCGAGAAATAGACAGATGCAGTGATGCACTATCCTGAAACCAAACTTGCATTCTTATCAGGAGGTCAGATTCATGAGCTGCCTTTTCTGAAATAGCAAGGTACACTGCACAACAATGTTGAACATATACAGGTCGTCCACTCCAATCCGTTGGTTTTTTTTGCCATTGCTAGCCGAACCTTTGCTCGACGCTGGTTGCCATTTTGCATGGCTGTTCCTATTTTGTAGATGTATGTTTCAAAGCACTTACATAGAATTTGCAAAGCACTGAAATAGTAGTTGCATTCTAACATGTCTCTGTTTTCTTTGTTGGTCATATCTTTGAAACAGGTAGGAGGGCTGCTAATTTAATTGGCACAGAAGTTTGTTAAATAATAAGCTCGGTAAGCTTTTCTCTGTAGAATAAGCAGCTAAACACATGAGCTTGTTACATTGTATTCATCAAATGCATATTCCGTTTGCTAATTTGCCTTACAAACTCATGACGACTCTATATGAATCGTTAGTCAGAAAAGCTGAAGCCTACTTTATCAGTGTCTTCAAACAACATGTGTTCAAATGTAAAGCCTCTCTGAGCAAGCGACAATGTAGTACCATCACACAAATGCTATTTGATAATCAAGTTTCCTTGTGACTATTTTGATCTGTTCTACTCAAGTAGTCATTTTACTAGCAACCAGAAAGTAGATATAAGGACATAATTATGTAGACAAATTGTGAAATAGCAAAGTCCTTGGATTATGGAAACTTGAAATAAAATGAACCGCTATGAGAACAATGCTGAAGGTGTGAAAATAATTACCTAGCTATCAAATCATACGTGTCATAAAACTGAGTGTAGGTGGTGCCCCTGGCAGAATATTCACTAAATGATGATCTAAAGAGATAATAAATTTGCTCAATGTAAGACAACGTGCGGTGCTACCATGACAGATTTCATACTAAGTGAGGTTTTTATACTAATGTGTATTGTGCTCATGAAGGGAGGCTTCTTCAGACTATGTTGAATTCTGCTTGGCATTTGGAGACAGGGTAAATTACTCATCCTTTCCATTCAGCTCCTAACCGCGACAAGTATATCAGGTAAAACACATAGTTGCTTATTTCTTTCTATTTCAAGGCGAAAACTCAGAAGTGTGAGTTGCACAGTGTAAATTTACTTCAGTTAATATGTTCCTCACCTTGAGCAGGTCAGAAATTGATTGGTGTTGCTGGCAGTACTGCATATGTGACACCTGAGGTTCTACTAGGAAATTACTTGCAAAAGGTATAGATATAGGGGCTGCTAGGGTGCTTCTGCATGTTCTACTGATGGGCAGTCTTCCATTGCAAGGAAACTCTGATCACAAGATTTTGTCTGAAACTGACTTACTACATTCAAGTCCAGCGAATTCTGGTTCCTTGCATGCCAACGACCCCAGTAATGGTGCACTATAAATTGTTCTGTATCCACACTATGTATACGTTATGAAAACAAAAGTTATTGTGTATAAATCATATGTAAATATTATGTTAGTCCTGATATTGGCATTTGAACAAGTACATAATTTCATTCAAGTTTCTAGGTTCGAGAAAGGATTATATTTGATATGCAGTTAGGTGCATATCCTCATTTTTTTTGTGGTATGCAGCATCCATTTTAGGATTGAGCATTACCAGGACTGGAGGAACTCATGCTCTGGAGATAGCATTCCTCATTCCAATTATAGATAGAACCAAAGGTAGCATAGAAAATTTTCAGTTCTTTGTAAGTTTGTAGAGAAATATAAAATCCATGCTTGACAAGATAGAAGTCTGGAATGTTGCGATGTTATGAAATATGTTGAAGGGAAGTCTCAATTGGGGGACGCACGGGCATTTTAACAATGCTGCATTTTGTTGATATACATGCATTATATAGTTTGATTAATATTTCATTTCCACTTACTTATACCAGTGATGCAAATTAATAAATAGATCATGTGTCGCTTTAACTTTATTATTGGCATCAACATCAATAGGTTCGTGCCCGTGTGTTGCTACGGGATAGTTAACATCTCTACAACTAAAATATTCATAATAGAATCGTTGATAGCATACGAAACGACCGCTCGCCCTCGCTTCCCTTCGTACGAAACAAAGACCGAGCCAAGTCTTCCGCCCCGCCCTCGCGGCCTTGCTCGCGCGCGTGCTCGCCGCCCACTCCACGGACGGACCTGACCTGGTCCCCGCTCCCCGATGCGCGCCTCGTCGCCACCGTCTCCGCGCTCAGAGACACCGTGGACGCCGTGCTCGGCTCCATGTCCCTCGCGGGGGCTGCGCCCACGGGCATCGGCGCCCTCGCCGCTGCCTACATGGATGCAAGGATGGAAGGGAAGGCCGCCGAGGCGTGCGACCAGCGCGGGACTTCAGTAGCGATCCGAGCTGATTTCGTTTGCAATTCCGATTTTCATTCAAACTTGCTGACATGGAAAACGCGGCTGTGTGGAGGGAATTTGGCGGCGCTGCGTCGGGCGCGGAGGGAGGGAAGCACAAACTGAACCTGAAGCGGCGCGCGGCGTGTGGGTGCAGGCGGCGCTGCGTTAGACACGGAGGGAGGAAAAGCCGAGCCGAACTTGGAGAGGCACGACGCCGGCGTGTGCGTACGGCGGCGCAGCGTACATGCGGATCTGTGTCGGACACGGAGGGAGGGAAGGCGAACTCGGAGCGACGTGTGGGTGCGGTGCAGCCAGGCCGGATTCGGTCGGCACTCGGTCGGAGACGGCGTAGCTGAGGCGGAGAAGGTCGGCTAGGAAGGGAAGAAGGCCAGCGACGGCGGCGTCGTGTGGCAGAACCGCCTAATCTAATGCCTCACAGGAGTGCTAGTCTTCCATTAGACACTAAGCACTCGAGGGAGAACACTAAATTACTCGGTTCCGTCGGACACACCCCAGGGGAGAACCCGAAAATCCACATTTTTGCCATCAGGATCACAAATGAGAGAATAAAGCTTACATCATTCTTAACCATTTCTTACATCACATGTAGTACAACATCAGAGTATAATATTTATTATTATAACAGCGGAATGTAATAATATTAGCAGAGTTATGAATAATTTAGTGTAACAGCGGAATATAAACATGTGATCAGAATTACAACGGAAATAAAATGATATTCATGGCATGATAAAGTATTGATATGTAAACTACGACAACAGATTATGAAACTTTCATGTATAAAAGCATCTGGTAAGAGTTATAAATAAAAACTACGATCGCAGCGTAAAGGAATCCTCGCTGAGCCCACCAGGAGGTATCCACACACAAGAGTTAGCTCAAGCATCCACCTGTCACCTGCAATATGGGGAATAAAACCCTGAGTACTCAATTGTACTCAGTAAGACTTACCCAACAGGAGAAAAGAAAAGACTCCAAGGATATGCAAGGCAATCTGGCTTGTGGGTTTATTGCATTTGCAGAAAGCATTACTAAGCGTACGTCATTATATTCGATTTTT